ATAGTTAATATATAATTAATGTGTTATATAATAAATTAAATAAAAATTAATAAAAATTAACGACAAAGTTTTATAACTTTAACCACAAATAAACCCCTAATGAATATTTTACAGTTCAGCTATTTTCTAAAAGCTATTTACTTATTAGTAAATAATTTTTATTTGACAAATCCATTATGTTCACACAGTTTCTACAAATATTATACATTCAATTTTAAAAGCTATTAATTATGCTAGAATGGTTTTTTTATTGGTTGAGTTTTATTTCTAAAAATGTAGTCATCTTAAAAAAATAATCAAAAAGGGATAAATAGGAATTTATATCTTGGTCTCATACTATATTTAAGAATATTGATTTGAATTATAATTATAATAAAATACAATATTCTATATAAATAAATGCAAAAATAGGCCCAAAGCTAATGTCAAGATGTGAGCCCTTCAAACTGCGCAAACTAATCCTGGTCTACAACATAATTATGGTGTACTTCAACTTAAAATCGCTGTTATTTGTCCTAAAATACATCGACTACGGGATCGCCCTATTTATCTTGAACAAGCCCTCCCGGGTGGACGTATCACCTCGAGAGTTGGAAGTGATAGAAGAGGCGCACATCCTCTTTGTCACCAAATTCATCGACTTATTTGACACCATATTTTTCATCCTCCGTAAGAAACAACAACACGTGTCGGTGCTCCACCTCTACCATCACTCCGTCGTACCCCTACTTTATTGGTTGGGTTTCCGGCTGTTCCCGACTCTCCAGCCGTTGTGTATATTCGTGGCGATCAACTGCATGATCCATGTCCTCATGTATTCATACTATGCGTTGTCGTCGTTTGGCCCCCGAATGCAACCCTATCTCTGGTGGAAGCGATACATCACACAGTTTCAAATGATCCAGTTTGTCATCTATGGTGTGTATGCCTGGTGGATCACCTTTGTTGTCAAAGGCATACCCGTCCCACTATTGGTTATTGTGCACATCCAGAGCCCGTTATTCCTGCTAATGTTCGGCCACTTTTATATCAGGGCTTATATGAAGAATAAACAAAATGATGGCAAATATATTGCAAACGGTTTGCATAAGAATGGCATTCATATCAAAACAAATGGCATTAAAAACGATAAGAATAATAATGTTTATAAAAATGAAAGTGTTTCCAAAATTAATGGTAATGGTATAAAAGTTGATTAAAAACAAAGGTCTGGTTTAAAAATAGAAACATTAATAGATTTATTAATTATTTGTTTCATTAAACTTTTAAAAAATTGATAAGAATCTTAATTAAAAAGGTGTCATAAAAATATTAAAAATATAATTTATTTTAAATAATTAAATGTGAACATTATATTTCATTTATAAATATTTTTAAAACTTATTTTGCAAATTAATGCGTGTTTTAAAAAAATGATTGTAACATTGAAAAAGTATATTAAATAAAGATTAAATATTTCAATAATCGCCTTTTAATAACTTATTAATATTTATAAAATCAGTGAAAGGGAGTCATAAAAAATAAAATTACTCAAACAAATTTTAAAATATCAATTTATTTTCAAATATATCAAAATCTTCGGTAAAATATGTTACAGAAATCTTTATACTTTATATATAAAACATTATTTATTTTAATTAAGTGTATAATTAAGTAATAATATTACTCTAAGCTCTAATTAAATACAAATATAAATTAAAAATCATGTAAAAAAATCAAAAATACTAATAATATATAATTAAAGTAAAAAATAAGACTGCTATTATATCGTATCGTATAAAACGGGTGAATTCAAGGCAAAGATTGCATTTGTTTTTTTTTATAAAACTTTTGTAGTTTTGGTGCTCTTTCTATAGGACTGGCGGTAGAAGTTGAGGAAAAGTAGTAAAAAGAGGGGGTTTTGAATCCAACCGATCCAATAGAGACCGCGGGGCCACCCGCTGGTGAGGAACGCACTGAAAGCCCCGTACGTAACAAATATACAAAATTGTGTGATTTGTAAGAGCGTTATGTATCGCTTCCACCACAAGAACCGACGGACGGACGGCCCAAACGCCGACAGCGCGTAATACGAGTACATAATGGTGTGGACCAGAGTGTTGAGTATCGCGAACACCGCTATGGGCTGACATGTGGGCCCTAGTTTGATGGCGGCCCAGCCCAGCACCGGTACCATGAAGTGGTGGTAGAGGTGCAGGAATGTCAGGTGCGAGTGCTTCTTACGCAACACGAAGAATATGGTGTCCAATAAGTCCACGAATTTCGTGTAGGCGTAGAGCACCGTCTCGTCGATCTGGCCGAGCGTCTGAGGGCTGGTATCCTCGCGCGACGGGAACTCAAACTCGAATAGCCGGCGCCCGTAGTCCAGCCATCGGATGGACAGCACGAAGAAGTAAGCGTTTGAGACGACCATAAATACGTTGTACGCAAACATGAGGGACCGTAAGTCAAAGGGCTTGCGATTGGCCATCAATTGGGGGCCGACTTTCGTGACGAATAGCAGCCATAAAGACATTACGATTAACAGCCGCTGCGGACCCCCGACAGCCAGCCAGTAGTGTCGGGTCCGGGGGTCGCACTCATCGGTCCAGTAGTCGTTGAAGTAGTAATTGACGGCTTGTATGAACTCGTGGTTGTGAAGGGTGTGCCAGAAATGGTGATCAGCACCGGTGGCGGTACTTGTCGTGCAGTTATTTATATTACTCATTATGATAGCAGTAAGTGTCGGTTCGGTTCAGATTTTTGTTGCTAACAAATGTTTGTTAAATTCAAATGAATGTTCAAACTTCAATGAAATGCTGAAATATATACTTTCTCTCCTTTTTCTAGTGAAAGTTCATCTGAAGTGAGAAAATTGTCGACAAAAAGTTATGATTGTCTCCACTTTTATCACACATCAGATGAGAGAGAATATTGTGACTGAAGTTATGAATAAAAACTTCTAAACTGACTCTCAGTTTAGTATTCCGGTAGATATTAGACGTTGAAAGTTATTTTTATAAATCTTTTTGCAACTTTACAAATATTATCATTCACTTATTAAAAACTTGTAAACAAGTATTGAAAAACTTTTGGATAATTTATTAATATTATTTATAAATTCATAAAAAATTAAATAATGGCGGGAAACCTAAAATAAACAACACTCGCGTAAAACAAGTGTTTGAATATTGTTTGATTAAAAAGTTGTGTAAACCTTTTCATAAGACATTTACGTTCAGTAAATATGATCACCGATTGAGTGACAGCACACTCCGACTCGACTCTAAACTTCAAAACTGAAAACTCACTTTTTGTTTGACTGCGAAAATTGTTTAGTCGATGACATACTGATCCCCTCTCTGCGTCTCTATCATCTGGTTTTTCACGAGTCGTACGCCAAATACTGTATCACTTGATACAAGTGTAATATGTGTGCTAAACAGGGCTAACGCCGGGCTATTTTGCACCAGTATTTTAGGTCAAACCGTAGTTTACGTGATGTTTACGGTGTGCAGAGAAAACTTGATTTTCCTAATAAATAATCAGTCATTCAGTCACTTCTCATTAGTCTGTCATTTATTATTACTGTGTTTTAGTTTATCATTATATTTATTAAACCACTACTACTTTGTAGAAAGTTTCAGGACTTACCCGTTATTATTTCATATATCAATGTATTAAATATAATCTGTAATTGTAATTATTTTGCTTTATTCAATTATATTTGGTTTTAAAATTATATTTATTTTTGTTATTAAAATATACATAAATGTGATAATAATAGTGAGGCATAAAACCCATTCATTCAAATCACAACCGCTTTTATTAGCATTTATGAAAGTGTTTGAAATTTAATTATAAGTTTACAACTATTTATTAGTTGTAGGGCTGGGTTAGACACCACCCCCTCAACACATTTCAAATTAATGTTTTCTTATTTGATTTTATCAAAAGCTAAATATAAGTCATATTAGGAATTTCCACAATTAATGAACCAAATAATGTCTATAGACTATTATAAATACTAAAATTGTTTTTGTAACCAATTAAAAGAGTTTTGTCTTATTTGATTTTATCAAAAGCTAAATATAAGTCATATTAGGAATTTCCACAATTAATGAACCAAATAATGTCTATAGACTATTATAAATACTAAAATTGTTTTTGTAACCAATTAAAAGAGTTTTGCAAAAAGTTTATGTAATTTTAAATGTAGTTCTCAATTCTATGATCACTTTATATTAGGTACAATATTGACAATTTCATTATATTTATAAATAAATTTCAAACATAGGCTTACACATTCATTTTAAATAGTTATTATACTGTATAACATAACTTATAAAAGCAAGTAATTGTACATTTTTAAATAAAATAATTCTATTTACATTAATATTACAAGAATTTCATGTACTAAAAGTGTGTTGTCATTTAGGCACAGGTATTGTTTAAAACATCCTGTATTTAATACGCAATTAATTCATTATTTATTTAAATAAACAAAATAGACAGTTGTTTTATTAGAAATATAAAATAAAATGGGAAAGATTCAGTTAAGAGATTTTAAAATAGTGTTCAATTCCAAGAATGGTAAGTATGGGTTTGGAAGTTATATAAAGGGAAAGTGTATAATAGCACTGGACGGCCAACTTGACTTATCCAAGGTTACTTATAATAGATAATTTGATATTTAATAAACATAATTTCTTATGTAATTAGGTATCAATGAAAGTGATTGGCCTGGCTCAAGTGTTATGGATAAAATCAATTCAAGTGATGACTGGCATGAATGGTCCCAATGGTAGCATTGGCTCACCTATAATTGTAACCCAAACCTATAAGGATTCTATTGAATACTTTAAAATTGATTATGATTTTATGGTTAACTGTATGAAAATACTAATGTACGTTGATATATTTTTAATATTTTATCTTGTTCATAATTGTTGATAGCGTCCAGTCAAGTGATAACTAAAGGCATTCATGAATTTCCGTTTTGCTTTCAATTACCAAATGAGTAATAATGTATAATTATTTAAAAATAGATAATTATTTTAATTTAATTAATGATCGAAATATAGGACAATACCATCGAGTTTTACGGGGATACAGGGATCTGTTAAGTACTGGATTGAAGCTGAGATAGACAAGTCATCCAGCTTATTCTCGCCCAATCATAAAACTAAGGCTGAGTTTATAGTGGAGGCGCCCATTATTGTGCAAAATCCTATGGTTTATAAAATATATAAATATGTTATTTAAATTTGTAACAAATATAAATTTAATTAATTTTAGTCACCCCTGAAAATAAGTGGTCAAAAGAATAATGACATCAAAATGGATGCCATGATTACAAAAAGAACATTTCATCCAGGTTGGTATCACTTATGAATTAGAATGCATACAAATATGAATCAATATTTTAATGATCAATGTCCAGGTGAATTAATAAGCTGTGAGTGCGTTATTGTCAATAAGTTATCGACAAGTGTTAGGCCGCGAGTGACTCTCAAACAAACGCAAACTTTTAGTGTTAGAGACAACCATAACACTAAAATACAGGTAACAAACAAATGTGTCATAATCAAGGGGTTGTTGGTTGGACCGGGAGTCACTGATATGCAAACACTTCTGGTAATTAATTGCCATTAAATTACTAATTTTTTTTATAAATAATCACAATTAAGTGTCTAATGTATTTGTATTACATTGACTACAGATGCCAATTCCTGCTGACATTCAACTGTCTATTGATTGTCCCATAATATCGGTCTCATATGAGTTGCATCTGACGGCTGACATCCCATTAGCCCGCGATTTACACATCGATTTACCCATAAATATCACTAAATTTCAATTATATGAATACAGAGTCTAAGATATTTTTAAAAATATTTATAAGTTGATAATAAATTGATTTATGATTTTCATGTATTTCGATTTATCGCTAATTTAGTTAACAAAAGGCTTATTTGAATTATAAGTAAATGTAATCAAATTTTGACAGATTTGATGATTGTTATAATAATATAATAATAATAATAATATTAATTTATAATATGATTGTTATAATAAAATTATATTATGTTGTTCAATTGGAAAGTTTAATAATTATCATCACTTTTATTATTTCATATCACTTGTAATCAGTTTACTAACAATACATGAAATACTTTTGTTTTATCATTTATAATGTCCTATAAACTTATGTAAATATCGTTATAATGACATATACTTTTGAAAAAAGTATATAGTAAAAACAGTCGTTATCTACTGTACTTAATTTACAAGTTATTTTTAATTTATTACCCTTAAATTAAATTAAGAAATTTCCAAATAGTGTTTGATTCAGAAAACCCTACCTATGGTTTGGGAAGTAATATTACGGGAAGGTGTGTGATAGCATGAATTAAATGTTCAATAAAAATTAAATAATGGGAAAAATTAAATTAAGAAATTTCCAAATAGTGTTTGATTCAGAAAACCCTACCTATGGTTTGGGAAGTAATATTACGGGAAGGTGTGTGATAGCACTGGACGGCACCCTTCACCTATCAAAGGTTTGTGAGTTTATTGAGAAAAAGTAACTATAAGTCAAATGTCTATACTTTAGGTAAGCCTACGATTGAATGGGTTGGCTCATGTATCATGGAAAGAAGGCAACACTACATATTATGGGCACATTAAATATTTAAAAATGGATTATAATTTCATAGTAAATAATCCATGTATGTTTGATACATTACCTGCACAGTATAATAATTGATTTATCTATGGCCATTTTGATATCAAATTATATTATATTATAGCATTCAGTGAAATATCGAATGGCACTTATGAATTGCCCTTTAGTTTCCCACTACCGCATGAGTATTATATAAGGCGGCGTGCACAAAGTACATACGCACTGGTAGGGGGGAGGGGGGTCATGCCAAAGCGTATGTCACCATGTTAAATT